GTGGGCTTAAAACACCACCTTGTGGTATGCCCGCAAGTTGGGGAAAGAAGGGAGAAGTAGAGGAATCAATAGTACTACAGAAGAACCTGTCAAGAAAGAAAGATTGAAGAATCTGAAAGTGACTTGAAGGAAGGTGTGGTTTTATATTTCACAGTAAACCTTTGTGCCAGACGCTATCAAACGCTTTCTCGATAACCAGGAATATCGCTGAAATATAGAAATTAACTTTAATGCACGACATGTCTCTTATTGATCCATTTGCGTTTGATTAATGTTCTTTATGTAGTAGGATAGTTTTTTATAAATAGCCACTAAATAGCCAGGTTTTTATTACTAATATTGTTTCTATTTCTTTCATATATTAGTTTTTCTTATTAAAACATAGCTTAATTATTTCACGTATTTCGTTAGTCACGTTGTTTTTATTAATTTGATTCAGGAAAGAAAAGAAATTGAATAAAAAATATTTTTTGTTTATTTGATAATCCATTTTCCAATTTATTTTTTAGTTTCTCAGGTACATTAAATTAGAGCAGGTAAAATATCAATTTTATACCTGTCTTATTTATTTTATTTTTTATTTTTTGCCTCATACTCTATTTTTTACGGTTTTTATTTAATTGTCTTAGATAACATATTATGTATTTTTACTGCATAAAAATCCGGTCTCTGCTTTATGGTATCAATATTTCTCTCTTTTTTATTTAACTGCATATTATTAACATTTATAATATAAGTTATTTCTATTTTGTATCAGTAATTTTTTTGGAATCATACATAACGATATGTTGGAATTTCCATAAATAACTTCTTTGAAAAAGGGAGCTCTTTGAAATACACCTGGTGAGCTCATTACCACATATAAAAGGTGTCCCGGCTCTTCAGTTCTAGTCCTCCCGGGCGAACAAAGCGTTGGGACAAGTACCTCATTATCAGCGGGAAGGAGGAATGGGATTCATGGATGGGGAATCACTTCTGGATTATTATATATTTATTTCCAAGTAGGTGAACATTTTCGAAGAATGCATAAGTATACCACGTCAAATATTACTGTTATTTGTTAATCTATATATTAATTATCATATAAATTAATCTCATGTTTTAAATGTATCAAACAATGACGTGTAAAGAAAGAACAGATCAATTGCTTGATTTTACTAAACCGCATCACATCACACCTTTCACCATCCTAGTCAGAGAAAGTTCGTTGATTAATTAGTTGACAAATTAATTTCATAAAACTATTTTCTTGAACCAAACACAATTATAATAATATTGTTTAAATTAATAATTCCACAAAACACAAAAACTATTTTTTTTAATATATGTGAAATTTTATTGACAATACAATTCTTATCTCTGTTAAAATTTTCAATAATTTATAATAGCTTACTTTTTTTTATAATTCCAGATGATTTCGATTGTACTATTCGATAGTATCCTGCATTGTAATACGATGCCTACATTTTCTATGTATGGGAGATATGATCTATTTAAAATGCTGGCAGGAGATGTTAACATTTCTTCTACGACTAAATAGGACGCATCGTGTTTTTTTTTTTTTGTGTGTTTTTTTGTGAAAACTAGAAGTCCAGTTCAGCGAGACCTTGTTTGAAGAGTATTCACGGCATACTTCAACCGATTTTGTATGTGATTAGATTAAGAGAGTAATAATAAGATCTGATGAGCAGCAACCATTTGAGAAGTCATCGGCGAATAGTTACTCGTCAACATTTTCTGGCAAACAATTAATTAAATCTGAAATTTGCAATTGAAAAAAATGATACTACTTAAAACTGAACCTTGGCACACATTTATCACATGGCATTTTATGTGATTTTTTATTATTTTATTTACACCCTACCCTGCCGATAAGGCAATACGGGTTTTATGCAGTAGTGAGTAGCAACGCATGCGTTACAATTCACTACTGCATTCAGACCAATTACATTTTTTAGAGCTGTGCACACAGCCTGCTCTTTTTTTTCTTTTTATCCAGCATCCTGTTCCACCCCCTCTGGCGGTCTTCCGTATACAGGTTCATTTCTTCTTTCCAATGAAAAGTGGTTTGACCCAACCAGTTCCTTCCACCCGTATACGAATGCCTTGTAATACGGGTATTTTTCCTTTGTCATAAGTTGAGGGAGATCGCTCTCCGTCAGAGCGTAGAGCCCCGTCTCCCTCAACAACTTAGCCCTCAGTGCCTCAAAGGCGGTACAGACTAGAATGATATGCTCGGCGGTCTCCGGCACTCTGCAACTTGGGAATAGGGGATCGATGTTCTTGCCATATTCAACGAGCTTTGCTCGGAAACCACCATGCCCTGTGAGGAACTGTGAGACCCAGTAGTCCGGGAGAACCCATGTCTGTTCCATTCTTGAACCAACGGTGGGGAAATATTTTCTTAGCGTAGCCCCTTTTGGCGTCGTCACCCACCGCTGGTTCCATTCCTTTAATGTGTTTTCCCGAAGAATCCTCTTCCATCCATTAGGGTCTTCACTTATCCTCACACGAAGATTCGCCGGTAGATCCACCAGGCCTTCCCTCTTCATCTTATGCCGAAAGTATTCTTCTCGTAGGAGAAGATCAATTGGAGTAGTTCCGGCTAAGACTTGTACCGCCTCATGAGACACTGAACGGTACGCTCTAGTGAACCGCAGCAGAGCCATCCGAAAAGACTCCCCCGGCACCGGGACGCGAACTCGTGATTATTTTATATCATTTGATTGATATATCAGGTTGCCGGGCAACGGCGGTGCTGTGCACACGAGTTAGCCCATTCGGCTACCTCACCCACATTTTACATGATTGACTTCCGACAATTCAGCTGCAGTATCTGTTTACCTGGTTCCTAGAAACCCTTTTATAATTTGAGGCTTGTGCCCCTTTTATTTCCCATTCTTTTGTCGGTTTAATATTCCATATCTCCTGACTGTATCAAACGCTTTGTGAATGTCAAAAAATATTGCTACAGAGTACTTTCTACTTTATTTATACTGTGAACAAATAAGTCTTGAATAGTAGTGGTCATTTTAATCAAATTGTGAATTGCTGAACAATGTCTATGAAATCCCCATTTGAAATTATTCATCAACTCTTTGTTTTATAAAGTCCAGAGAAATATTTTATTCACCATATTATTCATTACTTTACAAAAGCAATTAGTGAGAGATATAGGACGATAGCTTTAGATGTTAGTTTTGTTTTTTCCTAGTTTTAATATAGGTAGCACATGGAATTATTACCAAATAATAGGAAATATTTTTAAAATGTTATTCACGTTTTTTTTTTTAGTGATGGAAGAAATATTTTTTTCTCTTTAACTGTTTATCCGCACCTGTCATGGTATTGACAATCAGCAGATGTGTAGTGATGATGAGGTTGGCATTATATGCATGAGGAAGGATAGTACCCATCAACACCTCTTCCTGGTCATTATTTACTTCTTCGATTTAGGTGAGGAGATCTGTCATCCAGCTCCTTTTTAGTCTCTTCCTGATGAGCAGATCGGTCGTCAGTCATTATAAGTCTGTTTTTGTGTCCGAATAGGTTGAGATGAAACCGAGAGTACAGAGTACGTATGTGTTGGTCTATAGTTGGTTGTCGTAAGTTGTTATGTAAAGTTTTGTTGTTGACGTACCAGGGAGCCCCTGTTATAAAATTTTGGATTGAAATGACTATAGTTTTTGTATCTTTTTTGCAAACCGTAAATATGAGAGGTGTATGTCCAGAAGGGTTTGAGTAGGTAACTGAATGTATTTAGTTCTCGTCGAACTTTCAATTTAGATTTAGAAAAAAGTGAGTACAATATTTTCAGTCGCTTGTTTAAGGTCTGTCGTTTCATTTTGACGTGTGGGCCCCAGGTCCTACTTCTGTTGATAATTAATCTCTGTGTCTGTCTGAGGAATTTGGTTCTCTCCTATATAAACTGGTGGGCACATTTCTCGACGAAGTGTAAATGTCATATTTTATATGCGGGTCTGGCCGGGCACTCAGCCTCTACCACCCTGTCGCCACCTGGAATTTCTAGGATCCAGTTGCTCTGTGGGGCCGCTTTCCGTCCCACAGTCCGGCTTCGGAGTTCCTCCAGGTCTTGAAGGGCTTTCTGGTTTTCAGCCAGTGTCCTGTTGTACTCCGCACTGGCCTCCTCCATGCCCTGCTCCGCCATGGCTAGTGTTGTTGCCAACACTCCCGAGGCTACTCTCTTCTCAACCCCTTTCAGGAACTCGTCATCGGTGAGGATTTCCCTTACCAGGGTTCTTGGGGAACCAAAGCCGCCGAGCGCTTTCTCACTTATGAGTCGCTCAGCCTGCGCTTTCTCTGCCTCAAGTGTATTCACCCTTAAGGCAGTCTCCGTCGCAAGCTTCGCTAGGTCTTCGAAGATGCCCCTTATCGGCGCTTGTAAGGGCATCTCCAACTCCCTGATGATATTTTCCAGTCTCACTCTGGCTCTCATCACCTCTCCCATTACGCTTCCTGCGTTCCAAGGGGAGGTCTCTCCCTTCCCCGTCAGGTGTAGAGCCTCGGAGGAGTCTTCGGCCTGCGGTCTCTTTGCCCCGGGGGCATCCTCCGGCGTCGCTGGGGACAACATCCTTTTGGATCCCTTGGACTCCCGGTTTGGTTCCGCTCCGGCGGTTTCGCCCCAGATATTCATCATGGTGTCGTATGCCGCAGAACCCTCCCTGTATCCGACCGACTCGTCAGATCCCGGGGTTGGCGCATCACTCGACATGGCACCACTCTTCCTCTGAGGCGAACTCTCCTTGGTTGGCGGACTCTTAACGAACAGGAGCGAATCCAATTTCTCTTGCCACTTGGATTTCGATGGTGATTTATCTTCACTCATATTTAGAATCTTCTTCACCTACCTCTATGGCGGTTCAGCTGTCTATTCTCTACGCCGCTGACCTACTTCAGGCCTCGTGGCAGCCACGTGCTTTCCTAACCTCTCGCGGCAGCCACGCGGTCCAACCTCCCAGTCAGTGACGGCTGTGACCTACTTAGGGCCTCGTGGCAACCACGTGCTCTCCTAACCTCACGCGGTGGCCACGCGGTCTCCCCTCTCTCAGATCAGAGAAACAGCTGTGACCCACTTGAGGCCTCGTGGCGTCCACGTGCTCACCTAACCTTTCGAAGCGGCCACGCGGTCTCCCCTCTTCCGGAGCAACAGCTGCTGACCTACTTAAGGCCTCGTGGCGACCACGTGCTCTCCTAACCTTACACCGCAACGTGGTCGACTAACCTTATCTCTCCACGCGGTCGCCTAACCTCTTCTTTCCTCGTGGCGACCACGTGCTCCACTAACCTCTTCACTGCTGCTACCACGTGCTTTCCTAACCTTGCCGTTCCTCTGCCTCGTGGTCCCAGCACTGATCTTCTTAAATCTATTTTTTTCCCTTCAATCCCGGGAAGTATTTTTATTTATTATTTATTTAAATCTCTGCCCTGCCAGTTTGGCAATACGAGTGTTTGCAGTATTGGATAGCTATACGTGTGTGCATAACTAGCCAATACTGCAATCGATACAATAAGATTTTCTGTTTAGCTTGGCTCTTCCATCCTCTGTGGTGGAGCTTCTTCTCTTCTACCCAAATAGAAGTGGGCTGGGCCAATGATGTCTTTCCACCCGTACACAAAGGCCTTGTAGTGCGGGTAGTTCTCTCTGGTCACTAGCTGAGGTAGATCGCGCTCTGATAAGACATAGAGCCCAGTCTCCCTCAGCAACTTAGCCCTCAATGCCTCATAGGCGGTACAGGCTAATAAGACGTGCTCGGCGGTCTCCGGTACCCTACAACTTGGGCATAGGGGATCAATGTTCTTACCATGTTGAACAAGCTTTGCTCGGAATCCCCCATGCCCCGTGAGGAATTGCGAGACCCAATAGTCCGGGAGGAGCCATGTAGTTTCCATTCTTGAACCGACGGTGGGGAAGTATTTCCTTAGGGTTGATCCTTTTGGCGTTGTCATCCAACGCCGGTTCCATTCTTCTAATGTGCATTCCCGGAGAATCCTCTTCCATCTGCTTGGGTATTCACTGATCCTCACTCGGAGATTAGCCGGTAGATCCACCAAGCCATCTCTCTTCATTTCGTGCCGAAAGTAGTCTTCACGAAGTTGAAGATCGATTGGAATACTTCCGGCTAAGACTTGTACCGCCTCGTGAGATACTGACCGGTACGCCCTAGTGACACGCAGCAGAGCCATACGCTGGATCGTCGCCAACCTTTTCTTCTGTTGGTGCGAGAGAGTCTGACTCCACGCAGGGGACGCATATCTCAGGATACCCAAGATAACTCCGTTATAAATAGCCAAGGTGGCTGGGTATCTGAGACCCCAAAAGGCGCCCCCGATGCGACTCAGTCCATTAAGAGCCAGGGCCACTCTACTTCTCAGATAGTCCAAGTGAGGGGTGAAGTTAAACTTTCTTCCAGTCCTTATCCCAAGATAGGTGACCGCCTCACTTGGACGTATCGTTTCTCTCTGTATATTCAGAGTGATAGGGTGGGCCCTGTCAGTCTTACCCCTCAAAAGAACGGACTGAGTCTTTGAAGCCGCCATCTTCATCTTCTTTCTCTCGCACCATTCTCCTACAAGGTTGGCGCACCGTTCAGCCTCTTCCTTTAATCTGGCTCTGCTGTTCGATGCCACCACGACTGCGAGATCGTCTACGTAAGCAGTGGCGGGGAACCGCTGCTCTTCCAGTAGTCCCAGCAGCTCGTCAAATACCAGTTTCCACAAGGCTGGACCTAGTACAGATCCTTGTGGGCATCCTCTTTCTACAGAATTCTCTACAGCAAAGAAGTTACCTTTTATCATTAATTTACGGTCTTCTAGATAGCTTCTTAAGAGGTCGTACAGGTTGCTGGGAGCTTCATACTTTTGCAACTGCTGGAGTACACTCGGCCACCAAACGCTATCGAAGGCGGAGGATATATCAAACAGGAGAAGCATTACATACTTCTCCGCCTTCTCTTCAACGTCACGGCGCACCCTGAGCAGAGCATCTGCGGTTCCCCTACCTTTAGTGCATCCGTACTGTCGTGGATGGCTAGCTCTTAAGAAGACTGGTCGTAGACTCCTCATCAGCAAGGTCTCCAACAATTTACTCATTATAGGAAGGAGACATATAGGCCTATATGACTTCGCTAACTGCTTGTCCTTATCTCCTCCCTTATAAAGGAGTCTAACATCAGCAATCTTCCATATTTTAGGGAAGTAACCCCTGTCTAGGCAATCATTGAACAATGCTAACAGCCTTTGTTCAATGTAGGGGATACTATTCCTTAGTATTGCTGTGTCTATCGAATCCAAGCCAGGAGCTCGACCAGTCCTTTGCCTATCCACGGCAGCACGGAGATCCCATATGTCCCATGGTGGGCATAGGTCCGTACCTGGTGGGCATACCGTAGTGCGTCTAATGTATCTCTCCTCTTCATTATCTTGGGACGGATCATCCCTGGGGTAGGTTTCCGCAATGAACGTTTTTGCCGTCTCCTCCAGAGTGGTTGCCTGAGTAGCTCCGCGTTTCAATGCGGCTATTACCTGTTGTGGATTTAACTTACCCAAGGCAACTCTGTAAGGGATACCCCAGGGGTTCTTGGACGATTCTTCAATAATGAACTCGTCCCAAGACTTCCTTTTTCGAGAGCGCACTTCGTTTCGGTATGCTCTGGACTTGGACCTATACTCGTCGCGAAGTGTGGCGCGCCTCTCCTCACTACCACACTTTTGATAGGACCGCCGGGCCTTGTAGAGCTCTCTCTTCATAGCAGTTAAGGCCGGCGTCCACCATGGGATAGGTCGAGCTCTCACCTTCCGTTGCTGGAGGGATTCCTCAGCGGCGTCACGGATGACATCTGTGATCCTAGAGACCCTATAATCTAGACTATCTGTCTGGTCCGTCTCCGCTTCATCCCATTCTTCATCTACTAATTTTTCCTCCAGCGTTGACCTGAAGGCTTTCCAATTTGCCCTTCGGGTTAAATAACCCATAGCGATGCCGTGGGAACTTTCCATATTTTCCACCAGCTTAAAAGCTATCGCTTGGTGGTCGGAACTCGTCTCAGATCGTAGGATCCAATCGTTGATGCGACTCGCTAGCACCGGTGATGCCAGTGTTACATCAATCCAGCTCTGCCCTCGAGCGCTAGAAAACGTTGGCAAGGCAGAGGGATCATTCATTACCACTAGCTGGCTTCGGCCAATGAATTCTCCGAGTTTAACGCCTCTTCTATTCGTTTGATTGGATCCCCAGACCGTGTTCCAGGAGTTGGTATCTGAGCAGATGATGATGTTTCTATAGCAAGCCGTGATCATCTCCATGGCGGATATGTCGTTGTCTATATCACCTCCGTCAGGAAGATATGATGAAACCAACGTAAAGGTAATATTACCCCATTTGATATAACATGCGACACAATCCGCCGTGGTAAACTGCCTCAGATCCATCACATCGAGGTTTGGGTTATTTACCACTATAGCTGCCCTGGGCCTCCTCTCTCCACTGCTCAGGGCTATAATCCTCGATGTAAGGCCAAACCCCGTGACCATGTTCCCACGGCAGCTCGGTTCTTGAATCGCCATAACATCATAACGTCCAACAAGAGCCCTCAACTCATCCGCTACGATGCGACGACGGCCCATGTTGAGCTGGAGAATGGTGATATTATTCATAGTAGGTCCTCTTAGCCACCTCATTTGACCATCTTAAGTGTACAGGGCACTCTCGGCTGCCCGCTTTATGCTTCGTTTGGCTTTGCGGTGCACTCGCCCGCACACAGTTAATACAAGTCGGGCCAGTTTGTTCCTTCTTCCTTGGACAGTCCTTGAGTATGTGTCCATTGGCTGCACACCATATGCATACAACGGTATCCACCGTACAGGTAGCCTTCGTGTGTCCATAGCCTTGGCACTTTGTGCAACGAGGGGCGTCGAGGTAATCCTTAAACGTCATGGACCACCATCCTCCATCTAAAGCTGCCATTTCCAACAGCTGGAACCTCACCATTGGGTGAACTTCGAGTACCCAGTTCCTACTTAGTCCATTCCTAGATACTGAGGATAATAATGGCCGTATATCATCATTAATGAGTGTAGTAGGGACTGACTTCTCGTTTATTCTTCCCCACAAAAATCTCGTTAATTCAGCTGAGCCCCATGAGTGAGGGACACCCCTCACCTCAATCTTAGGTTTCTTTCTTTGTGCTAGTTTTGCCTGAAAACCTTTCTCCCGTAACCCCTGCCAACCAATTATTTTAGTGGCATGGGTACTGTCTTCTAATCGGACTAAAACGGAACCACCTTTGGTTGCTCGAACAATTTCTGCCTTAACACCTATTTCTGTGGGGGAAGGCAGGGCATTGATAATGTCCACCGGACTCTTACCGGTACCGCTAATAGTAATAAACGCCGGCTTGAGGGACTGAGTAGGTTTTAAAGGCAATTTTCGTACTATTTCGGCCAATGACTTCGGCTGATTTGGACCGGACCCAGTCAAAGATTCCGCCTCTGTCTTATGCGTTTCATTTTCAGTTTGTAGGCTTTCGGGACCGGTAGACTTTTTAGTCTTTTTCCTGTTTCTTTTGCTCTTAACGACTGTAAAAGGAACTGCGGCTGGTAAAGGCTCAGGCGGGGTCACGTTAGTCGCGGATGACTTTTCGTTGCTTTTTCCAGGGATGGCGAGGGGACCATTAGATTTCATAGTGGTTCCTGAGAGAGATTCTATTACCTTCGGCACTGTTTTCTCTATTACGATGCTGGTTATCATCGAATGTACTGAAGGCGAGGTAAGTGTTTCCTGAACCGCTTTATGGACAAGTAAAGATAAGCCCTCACTCTTATCTTTGTACTGCTTTGTCCTTTCCTCCAACGATTCAATAGCGTCAATGAACCACTGTATTTTGCCATTAATGTGGTTTTGGTCTTTATTTTTTATACTTTTGTCAGCTTTAGTAAGGTATATTCGGAGGTTTTCTTGAATTATCTTTGCTTTTTGAAGGAAGTCATTTGAGATTCCTACCTCAGAAGCTTCTGCGTTATCACCAAGAGAAACCTTTCTCGCCCTTTTTGCGGTTGAACGTGAAACCCTTGGAGGGTCCCCTTCTTCCCTTTCATCTCCCTCCATGTTGTCTATAATATTACTCCTGGACAAGTCTTTAAAGAGTAGACACTTAATAACTTAAATAGTAACAGTAATAATATTTCTTATCACTTAAACAGGTTATACTTACAAATTTATTTTTTTTACACAGATTCAGTAATGTTAATTTCTGTGTGCTCCCTGGGAAGGTCTTTTAGAGATCTTCTACTCAATATAACACTCGGAACTCAAAATTTTTCAACCAAGAACTCCTTCACGAAATTTATACTACTTAACCTCTCCTGTCCAAACTTCAATCTATGTACACTATTTTCACTTACAACTAATAACAACAATAAAAAACATGATAAAACACTAGAAAACAATAAGATGGCTATGAACAATTAGAACAAAACGAAAACACAAAACACTGCCTCAAAAGATAGCTCTTTAGTAGATCGCAATTAATCACAGTAACCTCGCTATCATTCAATCGGGAGTATTAGATATCCCGGGAAGTATATCGGTTGTAACACCAACCCCGCTTTAACAAACGCACAAACTGTATTTAAACCGCTTTTCAGCACAAATACAACTACTTCTCTCCCGAGTTACACGCACCTACTAAAACACGTCCTACTCGGTTGAAAGCCAGGAGTCAACTAAAGGAATGGAACCAGCGGTGGGTGACGACACCAAAAGGGGCTACGCTAAGAAAATATTTCCCCACCGTTGGTTCAAGAATGGAACAGACATGGGTTCTCCCGGACTACTGGGTCTCACAGTTCCTCACAGGGCATGGGGGTTTCCGAGCAAAGCTCGTTGAATATGGCAAGAACATCGATCCCCTATGCCCAAGTTGCAGAGTGCCGGAGACCGCCGAGCATATCATCCTAGTCTGTACCGCCTTTGAGGCACTGAGGGCTAAGTTGTTGAGGGAGACGGGGCTCTACGCTCTGACGGAGAGCGATCTCCCTCAACTTATGACAAAGGAAAAATACCAGTATTACAAGGCATTCGTATACGGGTGGAAGAAACTGGTTGGGTCAAACCACTTTTCATTGGGAAGAAGAAATGAACCTGAATACGGAAGACCGCCAGAGAGGGTGGAACAGGATGCTGGATAAAAAGAAAAAAAAGAGCAGGCTGTGTGCACAGCTGTAAAAAATGTAATTGGTCTGAATGCAGCAGTGAATTGTAACGCATGCGTTGCTACTCACTACTGCATAACACCCGTATTGCCTTATCGGCAGGGTAGGGTGTAAATAAAATAAAATAAATGTTCATGTCTGTGTGTACGGTGTGATTTGAAATAAACCAAGCAGCATTGACGATTTTTGGAAGTACTTTGGATTGTGTGGTTTGAATTTTGTTTATGTGTGTTTGTTTTGCGGAACCCCAAAGTTCTGCTCCGTATGTCCAAATAGGTCTTAGTATAGTGGTGTATATTAGTCGCTTGTTTAGTAAGTTGAGTGGAGATCTGTAGTCTAAAAGATGTGACAGTTGTTTGTATCGTCTGGTCAGTTCTTGGTTTTTTAATTTAGTGTCAATGCTCCAGGTGAGTTTTTTGTCCAAGTATAGTCCGAGATACCGTACATATGTTTTTGAGGGAACTGGTTATTGTCTATTGTCACAGCAGGCCACGATATCTTCCTCAGGGGGAAGCTAACATGAGTTGACTTGCTGGGATTGATTTTAATTCTCCATTTGTGAAACCATTTTTCAAGGTCGTGCAGATTATTTTGAAGGGCTATTGAAGAAATAGTGGGATTTTTGTGACAAGAAAGTATTGCCGTATCGTCAGCAAAGCTATAGAGAATGGTGCTAGGGTGCTCAGGGATATCAGTGTGTAAATAGAAAATAAAAGTGGGCTTAAAACACCACCTTGTGGTACGCCGGCAAGTTGAGGAAAGAAGGGAGAAGTAGAGGAATCAATAGTACTACAGAAGAACCTGTCAAGAAAGAAAGATTGAAGAATCTGAATGTGACTTGAAGGAAGGTGTGGTTTTATATTTCACAGTAAACCTTTGTGCCAGACGCTATCAAACGCTTTCTCGATAACCAGGAATATCGCTGAAATATAGAAATTAACTTAAATGCACAACATATCTCTTGTTGATCCATTTGCGTTTGATTAATGTTCTTTATATAGTAGGATAGTTTTTTATAAATAGCCACTACTAGGTTTTTATTACTAATATTGTTTCTATTTCTTTCATATATTAGTTTTTCTTATTAAAACATAGATATTATTATTTCACGTATTTCGTTAGTCACGTTGTTTTTATTAATTTGATTCAGGAAAGAAAAGAAATTGAATAAAAAATATTTTTTGTTTATTTGAAAATCCATTTTCCAATTTATTTTTTAGTTTCTCAGGTACATTAAATTAGAGCAGGTAAAATATCAATTTTATACCTGTCTTATTTATTTTATTTTTTATTTTTTGCCTCATAGTCTATTTTTTACGGTTTTTATTTAATTGTACATAACATATTATGTATTTTTACTGCATAAAAATCCATTGTCTGCTTTATGGTATTAATATTTCTCTCTTTTTTATTTAACTGCACATTATTAACATTTATAATATAAGTTACTTCTATTTTGTATCGGTAATTTTTTTGGAATCATACATAACGATATGTTGGAATTTCCATAAATAACTTCTTTGAAAAAGGGAGCTCTTTGAAATACACCTGGTGAGCTCATTACCACATATAAAAGGTGTCCCGGCTCTTCAGTTCTAGTCCTCCCGGGCGAACAAAGCGTTGGGACAAGTACCTCATTATCAGCGGGAAGGAGGAATGGGATTCATGGATGGGGAATCACTTCTGGATTATTATATATTTATTTCCAAGTAGGTGAACATTTTCGAAGAATGCAAAAGTATATCACGTCAAATATTACTATTATTTGTTAATCTATATATTAATTATCATATAAATTAATCTCATATTTTAACTGATCAATATATCACACAATGACGTGTAAAGAAAAAACAGATCAATTGCTTGATTTTACTAAACCGCATCACATCACACCTTTCACCATCCTAGTCAGAGAAAGTTCGTTGATTAATTAGTTGACAAATTAATTTCATAAAACTATTTTCTCGAACCAAACACAATTAGAATAATATTGTTTAAATTAATAATTCCACAAAACACAAAAGCTATTTTTTTTAATATATGTGAAATTTTATTGACAATACAAGTCTTATCTCTGTTAAAATTTTCAATAATTTACAATAGCTCACTTTTTTTTTATTATCCCGGATGATTTCGATTGTACTATTCGATACTATCCTGCATTGTAATACGATGCCTACATTTTCTACGTATGGAAGATATGATCTATTTAAAATGCTGGCAGGAGATGTTAACATTTCTTCTACGACTAAATAGGACGCATCGTGTTTTTTTTTTTTTGTGTGTTTTTTTGTGAAAACTAGAAGTCCAGTTCAGCGAGACCTTGTTTGAAGAGTATTCACGGCATACTTCAACCGATTTTGTATGTGATTAGATTAAGAGAGTAATAATAAGATCTGATGAGCAGCAACCATTTGAGAAGTCATCGGCGAATAGTTACTCGTCAACATTTTCTGGCAAACAATTAATTAAATCTGAAATTTGCAATTGAAAAAAATGATACTACTTAAAACTGAACCTTGGCACACATTTATCACATGGCATTTTATGTGATTTTTTATTATTTTATTTACACCCTACCCTGCCGATAAGGCAATACGGGTTTTATGCAGTAGTGAGTAGCAACGCATGCGTTACAATTCACTACTGCATTCAGACCAATTACATTTTTTAGAGCTGTGCACACAGCCTGCTCTTTTTTTTCTTTTTATCCAGCATCCTGTTCCACCCCCTCTGGCGGTCTTCCGTATACAGGTTCATTTCTTCTTTCCAATGAAAAGTGGTTTGACCCAACCAGTTCCTTCCACCCGTATACGAATGCCTTGTAATACGGGTATTTTTCCTTTGTCATAAGTTGAGGGAGATCGCTCTCCGTCAGAGCGTAGAGCCCCGTCTCCCTCAACAACTTAGCCCTCAGTGCCTCAAAGGCGGTACAGACTAGAATGATATGCTCGGCGGTCTCCGGCACTCTGCAACTTGGGAATAGGGGATCGATGTTCTTGCCATATTCAACGAGCTTTGCTCGGAAACCACCATGCCCTGTGAGGAACTGTGAGACCCAGTAGTCCGGGAGAACCCATGTCTGTTCCATTCTTGAACCAACGGTGGGGAAATATTTTCTTAGCGTAGCCCCTTTTGGCGTCGTCACCCACCGCTGGTTCCATTCCTTTAATGTGTTTTCCCGAAGAATCCTCTTCCATCCATTAGGGTCTTCACTTATCCTCACACGAAGATTCGCCGGTAGATCCACCAGGCCTTCCCTCTTCATCTTATGCCGAAAGTATTCTTCTCGTAGGAGAAGATCAATTGGAGTAGTTCCGGCTAAGACTTGTACCGCCTCATGAGACACTGAACGGTACGCTCTAGTGAACCGCAGCAGAGCCATCCGAAAAGACTCCCCCGGCACCGGGACGCGAACTCGTGATTATTTTATATCATTTGATTGATATATCAGGTTGCCGGGCAACGGCGGTGCTGTGCACACGAGTTAGCCCATTCGGCTACCTCACCCACATTTTACATGATTGACTTCCGACAATTCAGCTGCAGTATCTGTTTACCTGGTTCCTAGAAACCCTTTTATAATTTGAGGCTTGTGCCCCTTTTATTTCCCATTCTTTTGTCGGTTTAATATTCCATATCTCCTGACTGTATCAAACGCTTTGTGAATGTCAAAAAATATTGCTACAGAGTACTTTCTACTTTATTTATACTGTGAACAAATAAGTCTTGAATAGTAGTGGTCATTTTAATCAAATTGTGAATTGCTGAACAATGTCTATGAAATCCCCATTTGAAATTATTCATCAACTCTTTGTTTTATAAAGTCCAGAGAAATATTTTATTCACCATATTATTCATTACTTTACAAAAGCAATTAGTGAGAGATATAGGACGATAGCTTTAGATGTTAGTTTTGTTTTTTCCTAGTTTTAATATAGGTAGCACATGGAATTATTACCAAATAATAGGAAATATTTTTAAAATGTTATTCACGTTTTTTTTTTTAGTGATGGAAGAAATATTTTTTTCTCTTTAACTGTTTATCCGCACCTGTCATGGTATTGACAATCAGCAGATGTGTAGTGATGATGAGGTTGGCATTATATGCATGAGGAAGGATAGTACCCATCAACACCTCTTCCTGGTCATTATTTACTTCTTCGATTTAGGTGAGGAGATCTGTCATCCAGCTCCTTTTTAGTCTCTTCCTGATGAGCAGATCGGTCGTCAGTCATTATAAGTCTGTTTTTGTGTCCGAATAGGTTGAGATGAAACCGAGAGTACAGAGTACGTATGTGTTGGTCTATAGTTGGTTGTCGTAAGTTGTTATGTAAAGTTTTGTTATTGACGTACCAGGGAGCTCCTGCTCTAAAATTTTGGATTGAAATGACTATAGTTTTTGTAAGTGCGTTTTTTTTGCGAACCGTAAATATGAGAGGTGTATGTCCAGAAGGGTTTGAGTAGGTAACTGAATGTATTTAGTTCTCGTCGAACTTTCAATTTAGATTTAGAAAAAAGTGAGTACAGTATTTTCAGTCGCTTGTTTAAGGTCTTTCGTTTCATTTTGACGTGTGGGCCCCAGGTCCTACTTCTGTCGATAATTAGTCCCTGTGTCTGAGGAATTTTGTTCTCTCCTATATAAATTGGTGGGCACATTTCTCGACGAAGTGTAAATGTTATATTTTGTTACTTGTTATGATTTAACCTTATTTTCCAAATTGACTACCGATTTGGTAAAGTCAGTAAATCGTTTTGTAAATTTATTGATGCTAGTCTGGGATTACGATGGTTTGTTAAAATTGTTGTATCATCAGCTTAGGTGGCGGTAAATTTTTCGGAAGAAATAATTAAATCAAATTCTTTGATAATGTCATCGACGGAATTCCCTTTTTATATTTGCCACTTCTTACTTTCTTTTTTTTTTTACTTTTATATCTCAGTGAGAAGGGGAGAGATGTGAATATGAATAACTTAAAAAAATATAACACTATAATTACCTTGACAAAATAACTTTGAATATACATTAGCAAATGTACTGATCTGTTACATCACCTTTATAATTATTTACAATACTTAAAGCAAACATATGCACAGAGAGGATCTTCATTCTACATCTTGCACAGAGTAGTCTCACAACACAAAGGGACGGTTCCCCAATACTTAAGATGGCGGGTTATTCTTATTCTCAACTGTTGGGTGCCCCCACTCCGCCCAAGTACCAACTTGATCATTCCACATATATGGATAACTTTCCAATCAATTTTTAGTCCTTCGAAGACTATCATAATAGAATATTCTAATTTTTTATTGTTGTTAAGATTTTAGACCAGATCATATTTTGCCAGAATTTATATTTATTTAAGTATTAAAGCTTTTTTTTATTTTTTTTTTTTTTTTTTTTTTTGTCCTTCCCTTCCTCGCCGTTTAGGCTATACGGGATTTTCGGAGGCAGGGGTTGTGGGCGGGGAATTTAAAAGACTCCCTCGGCACCGGGACGCGAACTCGTGTCTTTTTATATCATCTCTGATCTCTGTTATCCGGTTGCCGGGCAACGGCGGTGCTGTGGACACACGCTTTAGCCTATTCGGCACCCGCCCCAGTTTAAGCTGTATTCAGTTTTTAATGAATCTCCTGATTAGATCATATCCTTCTCTATATTAATTTATCAAACAAAAACATGTTATAAGTATCCCATGGCTACTATGTCACCTCTGAGGACAAAACATTTCATATTAGGGCTTTCAAATCACAGGAAACTGTACTGGATTTAAGAATCCACGTCAAAATTTTTATATCCAAAATTTATTTTGTTTCGTTCAGTCGACTTTTGAAAACATCTAAATTTTAAAGTTGGGATTTGTAGCTTCTCCATGAGCTTATTTCCCTTGAAGGAGTGCCTTGGTTATAGTTGTGACACAAGTAATTTCCTTTTCTTTTTTTTTTATTATTTGATAGCCATAAAACGTTTGAGGAAGGCCGAACAAAATGTCTGCTATGAGATAATCATTGTACTTACCAACACAATGTTAGTATTTATACATAGACAAGTGTAGCTTTATTCTAAAAAAAAAAAAAATACCTTTATTCTATTTAGTTGGTGGATTAAAGAAAATGAGGTCGATTAAATGATAAGTGCCACAACCGAACCCAATCTCCCCTACCGGCTCCGATCTGAAACCGATAAAAATATAATAAATATATCTTGTACATATATATTGTACTAATAAATATATCAGACAGCTAGATAATATCTATATACACCAGTCATCCTAGATAGCCAGAAGCAATATCAAATATAACGTAAAAAAATTCATGCCATGAATTACATTTTATCTATCATGGGTTCGATACCAACTATTGACGATTGTAAAGAACAAATAAATTCACCACACAATACTTCTACGATAAAATCAACATCAAATTTGTAGAACAAACACTAAGAGATTGTTATTAAGAAAAGAGGTGCTAGCGTGCTCCTAGCTATCAGCTGCCAATCTCAGAAACACTTAGCCCCTGAAAGGTGGTCTTCACCATCTTATCCAATTTAACAGCCGTTGGAAGGCGGTTGATGGAATCTAATGCGATGAAGATGTATTCGCCCGTTCAACTTCCTTAGGCTTATATTAACAAGCTAA